TTTTTAGAGAATTTGTGATTAAAAAATAATAAAAACTTTTATGTTTATGTGTAATATTATTTTGCCCTTGTTTAACATTCATTATCCCAAAACTCTATAATTCACATACCATTTTAAAGCACATATTCACACAATAAAATATTTTGCACTTTAATCTAAATTTTTGTTACTTTTTAACAATATATTTTTCAAAATAGATATTTAAAACATTGTTTTCTCAAAATAATGGCCATCAAACATGAATTTTATTTGAAAAATGTATAGTTGAAAATAAGAAAGAGAAAAATATATTTTAGGATTAATGAAGCTCAAACAAGAGCTGAATTTAGCTAAATAATTATTCAACCTTTGTTTGGTGGTCATTTTTTTAGAAAAATTTTGAATATTGGATTTTTGAAAAATGTGTGATTAAAAAGTACGGAAAAAAAATTATATTTACGTGTAAAATATTTTATTGTGTGAATATATGGTTGAAAATGAGGACGTAAATATTTTTTTTTTTTAAAGAATGTGATTATGTGAGACAAATAGGCCTCCGTACTAGTATAAACAAAATCTTTTATTCAAAAAAAAAAGAGGTGAAAGAAAAGTGGATAATACGACATCGTTTGTGTTTTCTTAAATTTGCGCCACAGAGGTTTTTCATTTCCATTTGAATCAGTGAGAAGAAATTTCTTTCTTCAATTTCTCATTAATGGCGGAAGAACAACCAAATTCCAATGCTCAAGAACCCACCCCCGACCCGAATCAGAATTCCGTCGAAGCCACAATCGAATCCGGCGTCGATTTCGGGGCCACTGAGTCCACTTGCAACAACGACAACGAAAGCTCCGTGGTAAATTCCGATGCTGAGTTCCAGAAGTCATTGGAATACGCAGATGAGTTGATGGTTCGAGGCTCAAAAGCCTCTCAGGATCGTGATTACGCCGAAGCCACTGATTGCTACAGCCGTGCTTTGGAAATCAGGTTAGGGTTTTTCCTTCGTTACGCCTTTCGTGTTTTTTAATTTACTTTTAGGTATTTGGAAGTGAAAATTGTTTGGTTTGGTAGCAATTTGTTTGATTTAGTGTAAAATATTTTAGCAAACTGGTGTTGGAAATCGGGGGGCAAGGTAGGTTTATAATAATAGGTAATGCTTTTGGTTATTAAGGTAGTATAGTTGGCTCTACAACGTTTATTTTGGCTAAGTAATTAGCTTGACAAGCCTTTGTTCTTATGCTATTTTAATCTTCATATTTCCCTTTTTGTCTTCTTTATTTTTGGGGCTCAGAAATGTATAGTGTCTGCTTTCTTAGTTAATTTGATTTAGTGTAAAATTTCTTAGCAAACCGAGTTGGAAGGTGGGGCAAGCGTAGAGCTTTAACAATGTGAATTGCTTTTAGTTTATTACGAAATTACAAGTGGCTAGAAATTTTTGAATTAAGTAATTAGCTTGAAAGGACTTGTTTTGTTCTAATGTTGGTATGGTATTTTAATCTTTTTACTTCCTTTTTGGGAATTTAGAAATGTATAGTGCATGTAGTTATGAAATAATTGAACGAGCAATTTGAAGACATGTTAAGCTCATTACTTGGCAAAAAAAAAAAAAAAAATGTTTAACAAATTTTATATAAAGCCCTTGTTTGAAAGTGATTACATGAAAATTACTTCCCCCCACCCTCATTTCAATGACACATTCTAAAAATAAAAAAAATCATTTTTCGCATTTTCCAAACTTTTTACTTACATATTCTCCAAAAAAAAATATTTTTCAAACAATCACTTTCACACAAACTCAAAATAAGACCCATCTTATAGATGCAACAATTTGCAAAAGAATAACGATGGTCTTACGGTTTTTTCTTTTTCTTTTTCCTTTTTTCCCCCTCCATATGGTTGATTGTCATTGTTCACTGTTTTAGAATCAACATCATTGTGCTGATCGGGTTTGTTTTCCGAATATGCACTTAATGAATACCCTAACTTAAATTTCTGGTATTGACAACCTACAATGTACTGAAGAATTAAAAAGAAGTTTGAGAAGAATTTTTTTTTGAAAGGTAATCAAATGTTATATTAATAAAAGTTTAATAAATAGGAAGTATCATTAATACAAATCAGAAAGGAAAATCATGAAATTGAGCAACCCGTCTATATGCCTAGTAGGCGCGGCATTAAACCAAGTATACCATGTCAAATAAAACAACTCCCTAAACTGCTCTGTTATCCGTATTTGGTTTTCAAAACATCGTCCATTTCTTTCTCTTCACGTACACCACACAATGCATCCCGGAAT